AGAGAGAGAGAGAGAGAGAGAGAGAGAGAGAGAGAGATAGTACTATTATAATCAATGTCACTGGGTTTTACTCCGGTGTCTCTTCACATTAGCATGACAATCTCTCTACTACAGAGCAGATGTTTAATATCCCGTGAGAGTGAACTTATATTTGGGTTTGACATGTTTTTCAAACAGGAAATCGTTATCCACAGGCTAATAACATGTAAAGAACATTATTTCCAAAATGTTGGGTAGGATGCATGCTAGCAAACATAGGTATATATGACTAGACCAGCACTGTGGTGGACAGCAACTTTAAAGTCATGAAAAAGCAAATCAACAGATGACCGTTTTGCAAAATACAATGCATAACAGATCAGAAGTTCATACACATTCAAAAATGAATGAGTGTGGAAAGTTTCATTATATAATAGCTATTTAAATGTACATTAACGATGTTAAGTACATATAGTACGTATAGTATTGTTGTTAATAATGATGTTATTAATGAAAGTTTTTGGAAGGAATTAACTTCAAAATATATATCAGCTATTATATTCCTTTCTCTGAGTCTAAACATCAGCAATTCATGATTGCCCTAAATTCTCAAGACATTCAAAATTCATTTTATCAGCCGCTCTGGCGGCTCACTTTTGTCTCCATATTCAAAAATGTTAGCATTTTGATGTGTAAAAATATTAGCAAAACTGTTAGCATTTGGATATGTAAAAATGTTGGCATTTTGAATATGTCACAAGTTTTTCTTACCTCATTGTTGAGTTGCTTCTCTTCGTAACTCTTATTGGAGTCAAAAGACCGTCCTCGACGCGGTCCGTCAAGCTTGCTGGAGAGCATGGATGGGTTCTCCTGTTTTTATAGTAGAATATGGATTGGTGCGGGGCTCAGATAGATGCTTCTGTCAGTCTGATCATGATGTTTTCTCTCTGGATTTATAAAGAGATCAGGCGGAGGTGGGGAGGAGGGCGCGGCTCTGGAAAGTCCGACCAGCCGACCAGAAGATTTTCGCTGGAAAAGGTTCAGCAATCGAAAACTATTCGACCGTTAGATCCTTATGATTAAAAAAACTTTAATTTGTATTTTATAACACTTGTATTTTTATCGATAGAACGGAAGATAGTTGACAGGATTGTCACTTCTTCTATTTTTTATTTTTTTTTACTCTAGTGATTATTTTTGACAGTTACCTACTGTACTTTAAAATGTACTGCCTTAATGTATGACAGATTGTTTTTTTGTGTTCAACTGTTTTCCCAAGATCTACAGAGAAAAAAAAAACGTTGTTGGATGTATTCATTATTCACATACTTGATACAATTTAAGGACGTTTTAAAATAAATATTAGTAAAGCACATACAAAACCACTGCTGGAAAATGATACTTTTGACTCAAAACCTTAAAGGGGTCATATGATGCTGCTAAAAAGAACAGTATTTTGTGTATTTGGTGTAATGAAATGTTTTTATTAATGTGTTTATGTGGTTTAAAGTTAAAAAAACACATTCTTTTCCACATACTGTACATTATTGTTTCTCCTCTATGACAACAAGCACCATCTCTCCTGTACACCTTATTATGCTTATATTGATAATGATTTATATCATATTGGTTAGGCCTATCACCCTGAAGAGTCAGATCATAATAAACACTTTTGTACTTACGCTATTCATAATGTTCTTTAATTTATCATAGTAATGTTTAATATTGATTGAAGTATCACAAAATGTCAATAGAATATGGCAAGTTAATTACCAGTCTATCAGTAGTTGATCAAGATCACAAGAAAAGAGAGGAAAAAAACAATCCATTAAAAGATTAATAAAAAATCGAGTCGTAGACCTTGGCATTTAAACACACCCAATCTTTCATTTGGTTCATAGTCGACGTTCGTTTATTTATGTACTCTTTCCAAGGTTGGTCTGGGATCAGTGAGCTTTGTTTCCACACCTCTGCGGAAAGATCGGTGATGAAGTGATGTGGATAACGGTCTAATAAGACACGGCAGCAGGCCTAGATTAACTGGTGATGACTGATTCGTAATGTGCTTGTCACTGGTTCCTGTTATCTCTAAACCAATGGCCCCAATCCACACTATAGTTCCAGTCCGGGGGTGATTTGTTCCAAAGGGAGACACATGGAAAATAATAAAAGCACGTCAATGAGCATGGCTTGGATTAATAATGATGTGGTAGTTATGAGCAATGGCTGTTTACAAGCTCACACCAGTATTAATTAGCTCAAAATGCAATATAATTAGGTACTGCTGTACGTCCATTTCCAAACAACATGACTAATCTTTTATTCAGACGTTCTCACGCTACTTCTGTGCTTTATTGGTCCATTGTCTGTGCATCCCACTGCTTGGTCATTGATCTGAAAGACCTCCATACCCCTCCTCAGGGGGACAGGCAGACAGTCTTTTGTAAGGCAGCCCATAAGTACACATCTCACTAGGCTTTATGAAGTGAGAGATTCACCATCTATTGAAACACAGCCAGTTTATAACAGTTCCAACAGCATTTTTGCACTATTTTTGTTTTCGCTAAAATATTTTTGCACTATTTAGTGCAAAGGTAGAATACAGGGATGCAAACTCATCATGGGTGAAAAATGTGACCCCCCCGCCCCCAAATAAAACCATAAACACTTACAATAATAATAAAAAGCCTTTATTATTTTTTAACTCTGCCAACTTTAAATGTTTAAATGTTCACTTTCATTCATGAAAGACAGGTAAAAAAAATTGTCTCCTGGTGGAAAACAAAGACTTAAAGGGGCCATATGATGCTTTTTTAAAGATCATTATTTTGTGTATTTGGTGTAAC